TCGAATGGACTCGTATCCACTTTCATTGACATCTCCTCAAACTTCAATCTTCCTTGGTCGATCGCATCTTGGATCGTGTTCCTGAAATGTATACAATTATTAGTCCAGTGTCCATAGATATTATGAAATTTGCAATATTTTTGACCATTTCTTTGTTCTGCAGAAGGTAATTTATGATCATCACTCAACTTAATCTGTTTATCTTTCAATAAAATATCAAAGATTTTATCTGCCTTTGTTACATCAAAAGTATATGTGCGATTGCCATTTTGTCTTTCACTTCATTTTTCTATAGCAGTTTACAAATATATGGGGCTCCTACTTTAAGCTCTGCTATATTTACTTTCTCATCGACAGATTCTTTAATATCTCCTTCTATCCTGGGATTTTCTTCATATATATCATTTATATACGCTACCCTATCTTTCTTCATAGGTTTCTCAAATTTCTTGTACCTTTGTTTCTCGTATTCGATTTGTTCCACTCTTCTCACTTTATCAGCTAACTGAGCTATGTCATTCAATGGTACATTAACTAACTTTTTCCTAATCGAGAATTCTAAACCTGCAGAGGTCATCCTGACTAACTCAAATTCAGGAATTTGAGTAAAACATCTCGACTTCATTTGTCTAAATCTATTCAAATAATCATCTATGCTTTCATGATTATATCTCTTTATATTCATTAAATCGATAAGACTTACTTGGGTTTCCCCCCTAAAAAATTGCTCATGAAAATTTCGTTCCAGCTATAACCAATTATATATTGAATTAGGTGGCAATGACGTAAACCAAGTGAAAGCATTATTTGTTAATGAACTAGGAAATTATTTCATTTTTAATTCCTCGCTCATCGCTAGGTCCCCACATTCGATTTGATATCGCGCCACATGCTCGATAGTGGATTCACCAATTTTTCCAGCAAATTTGGTGAATTTGGGTATTTTGTATCCTCGAGGTAATTCTGTCTCGAGAATTGTATTTGGAAAAGGAGAAACAAAGTACGATTGATTAGGTGGTCTTAATTCCACTCCCTGCGGATTCATCCTTTGTCCCAACATGTGATTATACTGCATGTTATTTTGATTATAAACATTTTGTAATCCCTCATTTAAATTTCCATAAGTATCATTCCTCACATGCTGATATTGATCATTGTTCTGATTTCTCCTTAATAAATAAAGGGGATTGGTATTAGCGTTTTGGTTAGTATTCTGATTGGCATTATTTTCGACCCTTGTTTGTCGAGGTATCGCCAATGCATCCCCAATCCGTGTCATTTGGTCTGCTAGTATCTCAAAACTAGTGGTAGTGTTTTGAACTAATGGGTTTAGTACTGTAGTCAACTGTTGTGATAACATGTTGACCATCTCGAAATTGCTTTCGTCCATTTGTTGTCGAAGTACTCCTAATGAATTACTGGAAATTCCAGTACTAGCGTTTTCGATAGTCTCAAAATTGGATCGATGATAATCTCTATCGAATGTATATCTCCCGTGATCCAGGTTTGCTCTGTGATCTAGGTTTGACATTGGAGGCGTCTGTTGCGTTCCTAAATTCTGCACATTCCCTGAATTCTGGGGTGTTACTAAATTTTGAGACACCCCTAAATTTGGGGACACTCCATAACTTTGAGGCATACCTAAGGTTTGAAATGTTCTTAAGTTTTGGGGCATTCCTAGGTTAGATCTCGTACTTCGTTGTATTGAAGAAGTACCAGCCCCGTTCACATTATTAATCGAAAAATCAGGCGGTCGTACACTCATATGCGGACCTGCATATGTTGTTACGGGGTTCCCCGTAGTTTGTATATTGTTCGACATTACAGTACTAGAACCTAACTGAGTGTTTACTAATGTGCCTAAGTTTTGTTCAGTACTCACAGGTATCGACATACTCACAATTGTCGATATTACGGGCATATTCCCATCGTGAACTTGCCCCCCAGTGTTCGGTGAATGTGAACTATTTAGAATCTCACTGTTATTTTGATTATGTGGTGGATTTTGACCCATTCTTAGTATTCGCCCACTCCTTAATCTCATACACTTTCGAACTAGCCAATTGTTTGTGTTTTTCGACACAACTGCTTTCCTATCTGGCGCGCCAATTTGTTTCTGGTGAAAATTTGATTGATTTCGATTAAATCAGAGACTTGGGTTCTAACCAAATTTCAACCACGTAGATTCTTTTTACTTAGGCTAGCAAACGGTTTTCAATCGAAACATGTATGAGAATCGAAAATCCCATAGTCTCGAAAAATGCAAACAATACAACCTAGTGTGCAGATTTACAATCGAAAGTACTATTTTTGGTATTTTTTATTAAGAAATGCGAAGTAAAGAAATCAGTAAAAGTGTCGAATCGAAAAGTAGTGCAGAATATTAAATTGCAAAGAAATGTAAAATGCGGAAACCTCAAATTTGCATTCAGTGTAAATGGCAAGGAATCGAAATTGCAGAAATGTAAATAGCAGGAAATCGAAATTGCATAAATGTAAATGGCGAAGAACTTAAACGCAGAATCTTAACTTACATGAAAGTAAAATAACAAGGAATTGAAAGTGCAGAAACTTAAAGTTGCTGAACGTAAACTGCATCAAAGTAAATTGCCTGAGCATAAATTACTAGGGAAAGTAAAGAAAGCGATACAGACAATCAATGAAAATGGAAATCCAGATCGCTAGAAACTTCATGATTCGTCGTTCTCCGGTAGACTTTTCACTTGTGTTTCTGTTGTCTCTGCCAATTTCCTCTTCTTCCTCAAGCTTCGTTCTATTTATAAGCATCCTTCAATATAACTTCCTGAGAGCAGTTTAAAAACTATCACCACGTTCCATGTGCACGATCCTCGATTTTTATCTTAGTTTATGTTTTAGGAAACCGCTTCCATGTTCCCATATGCACGATAACCGTTTCCCTCGATCTCGATTCCAATTGTCAAGTATGATTTCCCTTAACCTTGATCGATTTTTTACTTTCATCGAATTTCTTCTATCTTCTGATTTTCGATTTCCATTCTCGATTTATATTATCTCGTGGTCACCGGGTGTCTTCCAACCATCTTTCCGATTTATCAACTTTTTAACCAATTATGTGACCTTCGATTTTCTCTCTTATGCTTTTCGATCTTTGTATCGATTTTTCACTAACACATACTATGTCTCTAAGTCCCCCTAATTCATCATGGTACATGGACACCGAAGCTAACTCTCACATGACATCTTTCAATGCTTGTCTTGTAGGTAATGAAAAAACTCAGCAGGTTGACATTGATTGTGGCAAAACTTTTAGCCCGATAGTGAAACCGGTTACGATTCGCACCATTCTTTCTATTTCTCTTTCAAAGACATAGCTCATATATCAATTGGATGTCAAAAATGTTTTTCTTCATGATGAGCTACAAGAAACCGTTTATATACATCAACCATTGGGGTATCGTGATCATACTTATCCAAATTATGTCTCGTTTGCGTAAGTCATTATATGGGCTTAAACAAACACCTCGTGCTTGGTATAAGCAGTTTGTTGATTATGTCGTGTCTCTTGGTTTCTCAAATAGTAAATGTAACCACACATTATTTATTTAGAAGGGTTCACACATGGCTTACATTTTGCTCTATGTTGATTACATTATTCTTACTACCTATTCTTATGCTTTCCGATTATATATTATAAACCTTCTGAGCTCAGAATTTGTTATGAAGGATCTTGGTCCTTTGAACTATTTTCTTGACATTGCAGTGACCTGACATATATAAGGGTAGTATGTTCCTTTCATAGCACAAATATGTCAAAGCAATTATTGACCAGACTAGTATGTCTTCTTGCAAGTCGTCTCCACCGCCAGTTGACACCAATGCTAAGGTGTGCTTAGATATGCATGATCTGAGGGTGGACTATATGCAATCTCTCAAACATATTATCCAGTATTTACACGGTACACTTGATCTTGGTCTTCATTTCAATTCATCTTCGACCTCATCTATTGTTTCTTATATTGATGTTGATTGGGGTGAGTGTCCTGATAGGAGACGTTCTACCTCGGGTTACTATGTGTTTTTGGGTGATAACTTGGTGTCATGGTCCTCCAAACATCAATCTACACTCTCTCAATCTAATACAGAGGTCGAGTATAGATGTGTTGCTAATGTGGTTTCTGAGTCGTGTTAGCTTTGGAATTTATTATTGGAATTGCATTGTCCGATTACCAAGGTTACACTTATGTATTATGACAATATTAAGGCTATCTATTATCTATTTGTCGGGCAAATCGATATATATTTTTATATATAATTGATTATATTATAATTTTTTTCATTTAATTCTTCACGTTATAGAAGGAGGAAGAATAAGTATGAAAAATGAAAAAAAAAACAAGGATTTATTATAAATTGGAAATGCAACTTTCGTTCTATTTTTCACCTCTCATAAATCCGTTGTCCAATTCAAATGATCCCTAAGTTTATATTCATTAGTTCAATATTTAGAGAAAAGAAAACAAATTGAATTTTTTTTTCTTTAGCTCTCTCTTTACATTAAAAATTTGGAAAAAACATTGATAAATTGTTTCAATAAATCTTACAGAATGATAATTACATTTTATGAATATATATGTCGTTTAACTTAATGATAATAATTAAAAATTTGATAAAAGAATTAATTATGAAAAACAAACAAAATTTCTATAATTGTAGTGAACACTTAAGAAGAGTAGTGATCAACTAAGATGGTCAATACGTCATATCATAATATTAACATAGAATAATTATAAAAAATATAATTAAATATAAAAGAATATATATACAAGTTAAACATAATAAAATTATAATTTTAAATTAAAAAACACACATGGAACCAGCGGTAGCGCAGTAACCAACGAACCGACGCGGTAGAAGAAGAAACCACTCCACCCAGCCGGGATCTGATCGGATCTCGAGTGAATTAGAAATCCATCATTCTCGACAAATTCCCAATCTTTGTTTTTCTGCATCAATCAGCAATGTCCTCCTTCCTCCACCAGAGAACTCTCCAGAACCCCTTCTCCAACCCATTCCCCGTTTCAGCTCCATCTTCAGCCAATTCCAAGAGACCCTTCTCCTCCATTCTGGGTCCCACAACCCTCCTTGCTCTCCTCTCTCTCGTAGTCATAGTTGGCGTCTTCTGCCCCTGGGTCAGCATGCCCCAAGGTTTCTCCTTCACTTCAACTTCAACCTCAGATTCCAAATGGGGCCACTACACACTGGAACAAGCGCTCCCCTTCGTCGCCAAAAATGGCTCCGTCATAGTCTGCATTGTGAGCCAACCCTACTTGCCCTTCCTCAACAACTGGTTGATTAGCATAACCATGCAGAAACGCCAGGATATGGTCCTTGTCATTGCCGAGGACTACGCCTCGCTGGACCGAGTCAATGATCTTTGGCCTGGCCACGCTGTTCTCATCCCTCCCGTGCTTGATGCTGAAGCTGCCCATAAGTTTGGCTCTCAGGTTTGTTTCTCACTGCATTTTATTTCATTTAACTAGACATAATACGAATAAGAAATGTTATCTAATCTGAGTGGAATAGCTACATGATGTGTTACTCAAGGTTTGAGCCCCTTCTATATAATTGACTAGTCTTTTGCTTTGGAGTCTCCTACTCCTCTTGTGCTTAAGTTATAGTAATTGGAGCTTTCATTGAGAGTGGGGTTGTGCAAAAGGCAAGTTATAGATTGGATTAAGGTCCAAATTGAAGATTGATAGGTATGCCTATTGAAGGGGAAGGTTTTTAACATGGGTGACAATTGATGAAGTGAAAGTCACCATGAACCTCAGACTTTTAAAGGGGCGACACTTGTCCTAATTACTAATAGGAAGTGTATGTTTGGTACATCCTAATTAAAAATGCTTGCCTTGTAAGTACTTATTTAGATTGTATAATCAAAGAGTAAGTGTATGTGTGGATCAACTTTTCAATAAACCTTTACAAGTTAAGACAATAAATAGGTAAAATGAATTAAGATTAGTTTATACACAGAGTTAAAATAAGCTTCTTGAGAAACTAAGTTAAATAGATTCTATATAGTAATTTATACATAAGTTAATTTAAACTTATGATGGGACAAGCTTTCTATTTTGTATTCTCATTTTCATTTTCTCCAAGTACTTGTTAATAAGTTTATTTAAACAGGGCCTACATAGGGCTAAACTAGTTTCGTATAAGTTGAAAGTTGTTTTCATAAGTTATCCTGAAGAACTTTTTGTCATTAGCCGAAAATAGTATATTGAAATGTATTATAAGTTATTTTTATAAGCTGTTCTAAATTTCAAGATAAGCTGTAAATAAGTTCTTCTAAAGACAACTTTTAGGTATTGTGCTTTACCGATTATAAGAACTTGATTTTATTTATTATTTTTTGTGTGGTTCTGAGTTTTTGGACATGTGCTTGTTTATTTCACTGGCTAGGGTTTCTTCAACTTTACAGCCAGGAGGCCTAACCATCTGCTGAAGATTTTGGAGCTTGGATATAGCGTGATGTACAATGATGTTGATATGGTTTGGTTGGCTGATCCATTTCCTTATCTTCTAGGGAACCATGATGTGTACTTTACTGATGATATGACTGCAGTGAGTGTTCTCTAATAAGTTCATTTCCTTCTGCCCTTGATTTCAATTATTTTATTGTAATAACACGTAGTTACATTAATGTTGGGAACTTGTTGTCTAGGTTAAGCATTGTGTATAATTCATACTGGAAATTTTTTGTGAAAAATTGGTGCTGGGGTTTTTATAGGTTCACTATGTTTAATTTGATGACATGATATATGGCTTATCTTTTACAAGATTGTCAGGTATTGGATTAATGCAATTAGTAAATGTTGATCCAAGATTGATAGACATATGATTAATACATTCTTTTTGAAGTGAAGGTTGATATCATTATTATTACTATATATTTCATCTAGAATGCACGTCAAAACCACATTGGTTTTGGTTATTATTCATACATGATCAGTAATTCCATCCTTCACTTCATTGTTATTGACTTATGAGAGCCTATAGATAGAGTGATAATGCTCGTTATGATTAATAATTATAATATAAACATTGCCATCCGATGTCTGTATCCGGATTAAACCCATTCTTAGTGAATGTTTGAATCAATTTTGCAGAGAAAACATCATGATATCCATGCTAGTATATAAAATGGATATTAAGAAATTCAATGGTATAAAATTCGTTGGGAACTTTCTTGACACTTAAAGGCTATAAAAGATATTCATAATTGTAATCAAATAATGTCGAAGGAGATTCCATTGTGATCCTTTTGGGGATATGCTGATGTAACCTTTGGTGCTTCCACATGATTCTAGTAAATTGTCTCTTATTCTTTATCATTTTCTTGTCTGAATATATGCTGCAATTTTAGTTGAATTCAATTTGTTCTTCATTGTTGATTTCATCTTTTAATTTCTTTTTGAGACCAGATCAAAGCATTGAATCATTCCCACGATTTACCACCACCAGGAAGAAAGGGTCGTCCTTACATTTGTAGTTGCATGATTTTCCTCCGCCCTACCAATGGAGCAAAACTAGTTTTGAAAAAGTGGATTGAGGAACTTCAGATTCAACCATGGTCTAAAACTGTGAAATCTAATGATCAGCCTGCTTTTAACTGGGCTTTAATGAAGATTGCTAAAGAGGTTTGTTGTATTTAGTTACTTCCTTCCAGTCTAGAAACTTTTGCAGACAAATTATACTGATATATGATAGGAGCTTGTTTGGGTAGTCAATCAGGATTCAGGATCTTTTGTTTCTATAAAGTAGCATTTCTCATGCCATTATAGGCTTGCAGCCGATTAGTATAGTTTGTTTCTGAATTCTGATAAATTAGCAAAGTGCATGCCATTATAAATTTAAGTGGAAAGTCTGTTCTCATGACTTGACAGTTTAATACGTGTCAACAGTCAAATCTGTACCTGATTGCTTATCCAAGTGTTACTTCTATTTTCTATCCATGACCATGGTTTGAAATTCCCTAGATCTAAATCTTCAATGAACATAGCCCAACGAGGTTTGGGTTCCCTTCCATTATACGGTCTAGTAGGGGATTAAAAGTACATAATCTTATCCCATAAGAAATGCTGTTTTATTTTTCATTTGTGGGATTATCTGTGCAATATTACTATAAAAATAATAAATAAATAAATTCAAGTTGATTTTACTATAATTCACTATAAAATGCCAGTTTCTTTTTTTATAGTTGATTGTTCTGTGGTTTATGGGGCAGTATAAAATAAATCATATCTTAGGCAGTAGACTTTAAGCCTAACTCTACCTACAAAATTGGCATGTAAGGAGAGGTTTATATCCACTTATATATTATAAATTAATCATATTTGTAGTTAATACAAAACGGTTTGTAAAGACGTTTGTATCTACTTATATATTATAAATTAGTCATATCTCTAGGTAACTTGAGATTTCCAACACATCCTCCATGCCTAGGACCGGACATTTTGAACGTGGGTGGGACTAAATTGTTGTGAATGGTCCGCCTTAAAAAGTGTACTTTCTCATGAAATCAGCTTTTAAGGTAATATTTGTTCCTGCTTATATATTATAATTTAGTTATATCTATATATTATAATTTAGTTATATCTCTAGTAGATGAAGGATGTACATCATTTTAAAATTGACATTGATTTTTAAGGCGTATGCTTCTTTCTGCTCCATGAATTCACGGTAAGGTGATCCTTTTCCAATGACGTATGTATTTTTTATTCCATTGAACACTATCTTCGTGATAAATTCCTACCATATTATGTATGGTCCTATGGATGATATTTGCTTAGATTAGAAAGAAAAAAATGTGCTATTCACTTTGAAAGTGAAAAACTATATCCGTCAGAAGAAACCCTTTTTGGATGCGGGGGGATTATGCTGTGATGCATTTTGAATAATAGATAGAGCCCAAAATTCTTTTATGAACGAAGTTCTAAAACTGACAGAACACTCTGGCACTGTAAAAAGGGTATTGCGCTTCTCATCTTTAGCCGAGGTTCTTTTGGTCTAAAGCTTGATCTCTAGTCTGATATATAATCATTTATATGCCACCAAGGAGTTGGTGGGTTTATTTTATTTTTTAGAACATCTAAAATGCATATATATGGAATATATTGTTCTTTTCATGATTACTTTTTCCATTGCAGGTAGATTTGTACCTGCTTCCACAGGCAGCATTCCCTACAGGCGGATTATATTTCAAGAACAAGACATGGGTCAAGGAAACTAAAGGAATGCATGTTATCATTCATAATAACTATATCGTTGGCTTTGAGAAGAAAATAAAGCGGTTTCGTGACTATGGCTTCTGGTTGGTGGATGATCATGCACACGAGTCCCCTCTAGGTGGATTATGATCCTTGGTAGACGACAGAACTTTCTTTAGCTTTGGCCCAAGCACTTAGAATCAGAAATCTCTACTCTGCCCATTTGTTCATCCTGCTTGCTTGGTAGCTGAAAAGCTTACTACCGTTGCTGTCAACATGCAACACTGACTATATGATGGGCTGGGAAAAAAATGGTCTTTTGCTTTCAATTTTGAGGAGAAAAAAGGAGCTTGTAAAATTTAGTAGGAAGAGAAGGGTATATTCTATTTGGTTATCGAGAGTTGTGCCCAATAATGTATGATTGTTTACAAAGAATATTCTTCCATTGTGAATTATTTAATTGGCATATAATATGAAATATAAAGTCTATGTTTCGGCCTCTACATGTAAAAATTGGTTTGTCTTGTACTTCGTATTAAAGAATTCTGATATCCTAAGTTATCCGGGCACTATTCGAATCTTGTATTGAATAAAACTGTGAAAATATTCGAACTGGGTCTATTGCTTGGAAGGTAACTATCGTATCGTTGTTGGACTACAAACGCTTGGATGTTTACAGTGACTTTAAATTTTGCAGATACTTGAATCTCTGTTAACTTTAGTTCATATTTATATAATACATGGATTTATGACATTATGATGTATATTTTATAACAATACCATGAATAATTTAAATTATATTATTATTGAAGATAAACTTAAATGAACAAAGTACTGGTAAATAAAAATTGTTCATTTAAACATTAATAATAGTAAAAAAATAATTTGTGAACCAATGAAAGAATAAGTTGTTATTTTGTTTTTAAAAATTAAGTAGGAGTCAATTGATTAAAAAATAACTAAAAATCGATTAAAAAAAGAGAGAAATTGAAGATGGATCAAAATTGAATGTTTTTAAAAAAATTTATATCATTTTTTTTCTTAACCAAACTATCTCCATCAGATTTGATTTAAAAATAAAAAATTAATTTAATTTAAATTCAAATCGCTTATTATATGTTTTAAGTTAATTAACATTTTTTTTACCATTGGAATGTATTATACTCATAATATACTTATATCTATTTAAATATGATAACAAATTTGAATTATATACTCATAATATATTTATATTTATTTAAATATGATAACAAATTTGAATTGTAGTTTTTAATTATGAGATTATATAATTTATTTATGAATATGAGATAAGGATAAAATTATGAATGTAATTATGAAAAATTAATTTAGCTTTTTTTATTTAACAATCTTTCATTATAAGATATTTAATAATTTTTTAAAAGTTAACCATTTTGAAGTAATAAAAATTGTAAATCAAATCGAATCACAACATTTTCTTCCATTTGGTTCAATTTTATGTGAAATTGAAATCACATTACATTTTATATTTAAATGACTTTTTAATTGAAAACTGTACTAAATTCGAATTACAAACATGCGTACGGTAGATCAACGCACCTATCCTATCGCAAGGTGAGTTCGGTGAATCGACTGATCATGTTAAAAGATAAATTTGACCAGCAAATTAACCCAACTCCAAAAATGATTTGTTTTTCGATTAAATAATATAAATATTACGTCCATTCTTTTAACTTTTTAACAAGTACAAACTTAGAGAATTAATGCGTGATCAACTTCAATTATTCGATAATCAAGATAATATATATTTCAATTAATGATCCTTTACATATAATTTAGACTTTTAATATAATTTGTAACATTTGACGTAAATTGTAACTATAATACAAATACAATGAAAGTAATTTGCTAGAAACTATATATGCAATAAAAGATAAATATGTGAAGAAAGTAAATTGTATAAAAGGAAATTTAATCCATTATCAAGGATAATGACGAATCTTGACGTTTGATCTTGGGGACCAAATAATATATTATTAATAAATAATAAATAAATATAAAAGGAAGAAAGAAGATGAAAGGGTTAAAGGATAAAATTATACATATATACTTAAATATATTAGATGATTAAGTTTGAGAGGGACAAAATCATAAATTATATGTGAGTTACAAAGCCGAGGAGGGACTGAGAAGATAAAATTATAAATATAAATATTCATTCAGTTTGGGGGGACCAAAATCATAAATTATATAGGAGTTACAAAACTTTGGGGGGGCCACGACCCTCCCTCTCAGCTCCTAAGAAGATCCGCCATTGAAAGGATAAAACATGAAATGATAAAGGAAATTGAAATACAAGTTTCTTCGTACATATCTTAATAATACTTGGGAACTATATAATGGATTGACATTAAATTTGATGAGACTATCTATGGTTGAAAATATTAAGTCGTCTACGCCCAAAACTAATAATGCTAAGGAATATATGAAGTTGTTTAAGGATTTCTCGTAATGATATTACTGACAAGTCGATTATGGAAAACCTAACAAGTAAGCTTACAAACAAAATGTTTGATTAATCTTAATCAATTAATGATCATGTGACTAAAATATAAAATATGGCAATAATGTTAAAGTTCATGGGATTGAAAGTGAGTGTGGATCATTTTTAGTACAACTCATTTTGAACTCACTTCCTGTTGAATTTGGTTAGTGCTAGGTGAATTATAACATCCTTAAAGAAAAATGAAACTTTCAAGAAATTAAAGTCATGTTGGTAAATTATAACATCGATCAAGAATAATGAAACTTTCAAGAAATTAAGGTCATGTTGAAAGATATGTACATAGATATGATACTTTAGTAGATATTTTATATTGTTTCAATCTTAATATAAAGTTTATGAAATCCTTGTTTAATGTTGAATATGTTATTGGTAGTAAGCATAATGTGCATGATGATAATTTTGCTTATTTATGTCACTAAAAATTTGGTCATATATCCAAAGAAAAGATAATGAGGTTAATGAAAAATGAAAATTTACCTAAATAGAATTTTGATGTATGGGATATATGTTTGGATTGCATTAAAGGAAAGCAAACCAAACAAATACCCAAGAATTTTGTTACAAGAAGCAATGAACTTTTAGGATAATATACATTTATATTTATGGACCCTTTGATGTTTCATCTTGAAGTAGTTAAAAGTATTTTATCATCTTATTGATGATTTTTCACGTTATTATTATTTGTTCTTTTGCATGAAAAATCTCAATTAATGAATACCCTAAATGTGTTCATTGATGAGATGGAAAGACAATTATATAGAAAAGTGAAAATTATAAGATCTAATAATGATGATGAATTTTATGGAAAATTCAATGAAAGTGGACAATATTTGAGTCCATTTGCAAAGTTCTTTGAAAGTAAAGGCATATGTGCACAATACACTATACATGACACACCTCAACAAAATGGTATTACTGAAAGACAGAGAAGTATTTTAATAGATATGGTTAAGTCTATGCTAAATTATAGTATTATACCTTTATCTTTGTGGATGTTTGCATTAAAGACCATTGCATATTTGCTTAACAGGGTTCCAAGTAATACAGTTCGTAAGAATCCTAATGAATTGTGGACATGAAGGAAACTCAGTTTAAGACATCTCCATTTTTGGGTTGTCCAATAGAAGTAATATTGTATAATCCACATGAAAAAAAAGCTTAGTGCAAGAATCATTAGTGGTTTCTTCATTGGCTATCAGAAAAGGTCTAAAGAATACAAATTTTATTGTGTGAACCATAGTACAAGAATAGTTGAGTCTGCAAATGCTCGATTAATTAAAATTTCCAATTTAGTGGAAGTGAGAAATTACAAAAAGTGGATGTTCTAGAAATTTATGGAGAATCTTTTCCACCTAATATTTCTTGTAAAGATGTTGTTCCTCTAGTTGTAATTTTAGCCCACTAGTCATTTTCGTCTGTTCTATCTAGCCTGCCAATCTAACGGTCCAAGGATGGGACAGAACAGATCGGCTTGTTAGCCCACTTTAAAATAATATTTATATATTAAAATAAAAATAAAAAATTAGAATTCAAAATATTACAGTTTTTATACCATGTTATTAAAATATATTAATATACTATAATATTATTATTTAAATTATAAAAAATAATCAATTGAGTTTAATTTATTAATTATAATTAATTATTTTAACACATAAATATAGTAATTTTTTTATTTATCTAATGAAAATATTTATTAATGAATAAAAACTTAAATTTATTTATATAATTAAAGGTATATTTTTAAAAAATACATATAAAAAATTTTATATGAAAAAATTATTAACGAATTAGCTCTTTGGTCCATCAACTCACCCTTTGATAGGGCGGGCTAGGGTCTCTAGTCCCTTCTATGGCGGGTCAACCCACCTCGTCCCATTTTTAGTAGGTTAGAGGTTGGATGGGTCAAAATGGGACAAACTAGCTCGTTTTGTCATTTCTACTTGTGAGATCAATTAAAGATATGTTTTTATTCATTTATCCTTCACATTACATTAAGGATAGACAAACGAGCTAGGCTTAGGGGTCCGACCCTATAACCTACTTAAAAAATGACGAGGCGGATTAATGATTTTAACCCGTTAACTCGTCTCGACCAAAGGTGAGGCGGAGACAAGCTAGTTTACTCGGCCCACTTTAAAAAAAATTTATATATTAAAAAAAAATTAATTAAAAATACTATATTTTTGTGTTAGGTTATTGAAATATAAAATATATTATAATATTATAATTTAAATTATAAAATTTAATCAATTAAGTTTAAATTATTAATTATACTTAGTTATTTTAACACATATAAATATAATAATTCAATTTATCTAATAAAATACTAATTAATAAATAAAAACTTAAAAATATTCCTATAATTAAAGATATATTTTTAAAAAATACATATTAAAAAATTTATTGGCAAACTCGACCCATTGGCCTCGCTAACTCATCCTTTGATGGGATAAGTTAGAGTTTGTAACCCGATCCCGATTATAGTAGGTCCGTCTATCCCGTTTCGTTTTTGTGTGAGTTAGAGGTAAGAGAGGCCAAAATGGAACGAGTTGACCCATTTTGCCATCTCTATATTACATGGTATACATTATTATTCTATTTAGTAAAATGACAAGATGTGTCTTTAGAAGGAAATTAAAGATATTGACGACAATATTTTAGTCGTATAAAATATTGATAAAAATATAAATAAGTTTTTAAACTAATGTAATATAATTAACCTATGTCAAATCTAGGATACACTTATAAGAACATATTCATTACCACACATTATTTTCTCTAAAAATAGTAAATAAGAGTAAATGGAGTTGATGATAATAAAACAAAAGAACGAAAAATTAATTGAAACTAAATAACGAAAAATTAAAATTAAATTATAGAAAAATAATAACAAAAATTAAATTGAAGTATAATAATAAAAATTTAAGTAACTAGAATTTATAAAAATAAAACTGAGTGCTTTTAATTAAATTTAAAACTTTACAAAATAAAGTACAAAAATAAAAATTGTTTTTAATTAAAACAAAAGAGTATCATAATTAAATTTAAAATTGTTGAAAGAGATAAATCTAAATTTAAGTTGCAAATTAGAATCGAAAACAGTAAAAGAAATTTGGAATCGGACAATTGATATATTGAAATTGAAAATGAATTCAATACTAGAATAAAATAAAAATTCTAAATAATTAAATAATAGAAATTAAACATACTGTAGAATGAATAAAGTAAATTCAACAATATAAAACTGAAAAATTCAAGAGAAATTACAAATTAAATAACAAAAGAGAACAAAAAAAAAATTTGCAGTAGATGAAGCTAAGTTCACCAAATTAAAACTAAACTAAAGGAAATTAGAAACACAATGGAAACAAAAGGGGATGACACAAAATCGCAGTTCTTGCCCTATAAAAGGAGATTGTATTTTTCTACTCTTATCATGTCTCTATTTATAGGGGATTGACCAAAAGAAAATAAGTCTGAAATTAATTAAATAAAATAAAATATTTTCTCAATTACAAATTACAACACTGGATTATTGTGTGAGGACAAACTTATGAGATTAATTGAAGTAATTTAGATTCTTTCCAAATTTGAATTGATTCAACACTGATCTATATTTAATTAGTTTAGCTCAATTAGATTCCCGCAATAATTAATTTGATTAATTCAAAATGTCCATTTGTAACGTTATGTAAGGGAGCTACATATATAAACTTGACCTTCCAAAAAAAGTAAAGTTTGATTGCACATTATGTTTGTGATGAATTTAGATCTTTATTTTCATCAATTTGGTCCATCTTAAATTACATTTTTCTTAAAAGAGAGAAAGAGGGAGACAGAAAGAGAAATATGCACTCTAGATGTATAAAAATATGCTTTAATGCTAAAATTATACAAAATGCAACAAATTAAAAAAAAACTATGCTATGTTTTTAATTAAAAGATGTTAAATGCATAATTTATGGAAAAAAATACTTAACTTAAAAAATACTCTTAGATAACAAAATAAATAATAAAATGACATACATAATATACCTATTATAATATTAAGTAAAGTTAAGTTGTATGATTATGTGATATATAAAAAAATCTTGTTGAATAACTTACAACCAAATTTCATCCTTAACTTAATTAATTCAATAATAATGATTTCATATGTTCAATATATAAAATGCACTTAAAAATTTAATATTAAATATTCAAGTCATCACATAAATCAAATATAATATATCTTTGACCCATTCCTAAAATTTTTGGATGAAAGGATTCTTTTCCTAATACAAGTAGTCAATTTTATTTGTTAAAACAGCTTGGTAGAGTCTATGCACTTGTCCCTTTTTTATTATAACATTTTGTTTATAGAAAAGAGGATTTGGTTCAAGATTATACATTGTAAATTCCAGAATTTATCTGAATTTAAAAATTATCACTCAGGAGTCAATCCAATTAAGTTCATAACGTTTACCAATTCCACCACAATATCTTTAATCTAAAGATTCAAATGTAATAATTTTTATATTATAAATGTATTAAAATAATAAATTATTTTGAAGATATTTCAATCACTTCTTTCTTTTCTCACTTCATTACAGATATTATAATCTTTTAATAAATGTTATTTTTTAACATTAATTTTTGAGGAGAGTTATAAAAAAGAAATTGTTATCTATTTCTCTCTCCAAGATTTACATTACTTTTTTCAGGAAAAAAATTTGATAGAACAAAATATTCAAGATCATTTTATATAAGCCCAGGTAAGTTCTTAAACTCTTCTACCACCTTATTGTCAAGGTCACATATGAAGAAATAGGAAAATGCACACTTCAGAGTTGAGACGGGTATGCATGAACTATTCATCTACAACAAGAATTCCCAAAGGCAACTATGTAGGGTGATTTCCAACATAATTAGAGTGAACAATAATAGATAAAGTCAGGAGTCTGTTAGAGAGAGCTCTCTAAAAAATGTGCAAAGCTAGGGTACTTGGGCTCCCACCCAACTACCTGGCGCGTTCTTGCGTTGTTTAATCTCTTACCTAGAGGGTCATCAGTTCCTGCAAAGCCAAATATATATACAAAGAGACATCATGCTTTTAAAATCAAAAGTGGCGTATTTCTTACAGTGTTATATAATCACAAATCGTCAGGTATAGAAAGCTTGTTGATTTTTAAAACAACTTCCTTAAAATTCATACCAATGACAATTTCTGATTAATTGACAGTATAAATTTTACATTAAAAATGTGGAGAAATTAAACTCAAACAACAGAGTACCTAAACATGATAGCAGCATAGGTGAAATTAACGTACAATGAAGTACTATGCTAGAATCAGTTCCAGATATGCTTCACCATCAAATAACTCACCAGTAAATTTATTAAACCTTTTACTGAATTTCCCACTTTCATTGACCAGGTCCATCATTTGCTGCCTGCAAATCCATGATTAGTGTCAGATTATTCTTTAAATATTCAGAGTGTAATTTGACAATAAATAGAAAGCACCTAACCTAGACAAAGGATGATCATCACAACCCAAGAAAATCTGTCCCCGAAATTTTTTCTTCAAGATTGCAACTACAAGGGAAGCTGCATCCTGTCGTGAAAACACAAAAATGAGAACCGGTTTTAATCCCATCATAAAACACTACTAAACACATTAAAGAACGCAAAATGTTGAAGAAAAATATTAACGACATTAAAAGGAAGATTTGTCTCCATAATAAATGGTATCAAAACCTAACCATTTTTTGAAGAAGGGAATGTAATGGTATAAATTATATATTGAAAGCAAGTAAGAGAATTTCTTAGATACGAATATTCAAACATAAACTGAGTCTCAATCCATGTTGTTAAACTGTACATTTCTCTCCCAAAAAATGTCAAATCCTTTTCTCAAAAATTAAGAACCTCGTAAAATATTCCTATATTCTTGAAGATGCTCACATATAGTCATCTCTTAAAGTCCTTATAACATCTTCCAACACTAAAACCTACTCATAGATCTATCTCCAAGCTCATTTCACTAGAAGACCCCATATAAAAGAATATGTTCAATCCTTCAGAATATAGACCAATGTTCTTTAACTGTCACCACAAAAGAACAATGTCAATATTGAGATACCGAAAGACCTCATCAGACACAAGCAAAATGATATATACACTCATCTTCATTAAGAAACAATTAGATTAGTTTTCTCTCTCTATGAAAGACATTAACTACATGTCGCAATTAGAGTTTCACTTCTAGACTCTAACTATTTGTACTATGAACATCCGGTGATTGGTATAGTGTTAACCACCCTCCATGTAGGAAGTGTGGTATAAACGATATTTCCTACATGTAGGAAGTGTGGTATAAACGATATTTCCTAACTTTAATGTTAGTCTAAGAGATTCAACCATCTCACAAACACTAAAAGTCCATATTCAAATCATGGGAGCGAAACAAGTAGCTAAAGTTTTATATGCTACACTCTATCACCAATAATCTACAAACTTCAAGATCATACCATCAACCAAGCCTGACTATCATGTAAGGATGATGCCTAGTTTGCTCTTGCCAACAATCAAGAAGACACACCCTCTTCTGTTCAGATTCCCTAAAACATCTCTCAATAGGAATTACAGAAGCTAATTCCCATGTAATGGGTTACTAACAATGAGAAGTTACTCATGACTCAGAAACCCATTTAGTTAACTGAAGCCACCTTAAGAAGATTCCATAGATGGTTTTGTCAAAATTATCTTTAGGAACCTTGAAGAAACATCCAGTGCAGGTACCTCCATATTTCAGTCTATTATGATATTACCCTTCTTCAAAGAAGGAAAAATTCCAATATCAAGTGTTTGTCCTGATGAAAAACTTATCTTCACTAATGAGATTAATGGACATTTCATATGGAATTCAACACTCAAGATGTGTGACCCTGATTGAGACAGTTGGAAGCACACCGAAGATTCAAGTGATGAGGAAGGTGAGGTGGAACAAGGTTGATCTTGTAAACCACCATGCTCTTCTCATAGGAGATTTGAACCAGGAAAAAGTCCATAGACAAAACTTCATCACCAAGAAAAACCAGATCCACTTTGGATCTACAAAAGAGGCCTAGAGGTCCTCATGGAAGGACTTTTTCCTCCAAAACAGGCTCTATACAGATCTTACGACATGTCATGTCCAATCATTCCATTTGTTCCATGTCATAAAGGATGATTGAAATAATCTTTAGCATTATCAGACCTAAGTTTCTTGATAGTAACCCCAAATTGATTTATTTATCTATCACACGCTGACCTCAGATTTGTGTTTAAGGAGAAAAAACCATGTTATCCTTGTACAATCATCAATAAAGGTGAGAAACCATTTAGCCTCTGAGATATTAGGAACATTAGAGAGACTCCACACATCTGTATGAACAAGATAAAAGGAGAACTATTGATTTTATTACTAATAGGAAAACATAAATGTTTATGTTTTGCTAACTCACATACCTCACAATGAGGACACTGCAAATTTAAATTTTGAACAAGGAAGGAAATAATAGCTCTATAACACGAAATGAAAGATGTCCTAGATGACGATGAAACAACTAAATTTTGACCAGTTGGGAACAGATGATTCTGTTATCAAAGATTGTCCCTTAAAGGGTTGATTCATATCTTCCATGTAGTCAAGACCATTCCATTCTCTAGTATGTCCAATCGTCCTCCGCGATTTCTTGTCCTGCAATATACAAAAGCTGCTATAAAAGACCACATTACATGAGAGATCTTGATAAGTTTTTGGATAGATATTAGGGTTGTAGACAATTTAAGCACATGTAGATCATTTTTTAGAGTTATGGTTGGGTTTATTTAGAGATCTCCTTGACTAGCTGCAGTTATCATGTTTCCATCAGCTGCGGAAATTTTCTTGTTAGGATATGGGGAATATGTGGAAAAGTATTTGGACAAGGGTGTCATATGGTATGTGGCTCCAGAGTCTAAAATCCAATAGTGGGTAAAGGGTGTATTTGAAACATTAAATCCAATAGAGAATAGTAATGTACCAAAATATGTCAATGAACACATACTTGTGGATTTTTCAAGCTTACTTAGGAAGGGCCTTACTCTTTCTAGTTCCTTGTGGTTGAGTTGGACAAATTCTCCTCCATTGTGAGTCTTGTCACCATTTTCCATTTTAGCCATTACAATTATGTGCAATTAAGGCACAAAGGAATAAATTGATAAAAGACACACACTAATGGAGGTCAGATCGTGCAACAATGAAGGCTGATAGAGGACAAGGAACAAAGCAGGAATGAAGGCTGCGAGGCAGCAATGAAGGCTGCGATTAGGTTTACATAACAACTAAGGCTACAATTAACCACAAAAATCAGAGGCTCCCAAGGAACCATCTCAAGTTTAGAAGAAAATAATTTCACTCTTAACAACTAAGGCTATCTTGTTACATATATTTGATATATATATATACATGGACTGATCGGGTAAATTAGGAAACAAATCCCTAAGATTGTGGGATTGATATACTAGTAATAAAATCATGATACAGCCAATATACAACATTAAAACCAACAGGAATAAAATCTAAAACTTTCTAAAATATCTTGACATAGGTCATAACCAAACCAAAAGCCTCAAAACCTAGCAAACGAAAAGGAAAAAAACCTAGTCCATCTTCTCAAGAATCATTAGAATCTTCTCATGAGATCCAACCTTCACCCAATAAACAAACTCTTAAAGACATATCTAATCCTATTTTCCGGGATTCACAAGATCTATATTCACAAATGACCATTGAATCGATCTTACTCCCCTCTCCCAGAATTCTTGGATAACTGATGAAGATTATTCTTCTGAAGTTTTGGAAGAAGAGCTAACATATGCTAGCTTAACTCAAATTTCGATGACTAGTACATCAAATAAGAAATAAGACAAGACCCCATATATGATCCTTTATATGAAGAAATCAACTCTAGTCAACCCAACAATAATAACTCGTCAAAACCAGATGGAAGACCTTAGTTCACCATAGATAACATTCCCCCAAGCCATTGGAGAGGAAGACTTATTGATTTCAATGTTTGGCTAGACACAAAGATGATCAAATATGTTGATCCTCACAAGATAATTGAAGAATGTTGTTGCAAATGACTGAACCTTGAAGGAGTGATATTATAATTTAGGAGCAATCCGACAACATCAATTACATAGGTCAAACATCAAAAATTTTAGGAGCATTACATGAAAAATTCATTAGAGATTGTACAATAATTGACAAAAAACTCAAGTAAGAATTTTTTGAGATGAGATGCTGCTCAAGCAAAATCAAAGACTTAGAAAAGCCCTATGAAAGGATGAGTAGATGATTTTATCATCTCAATAGGTTCAATGATCCAAGCTTGAAAAATACATATGTTACATCTCTTCTTATTGAAATCCAATTGGAACAAAACAAAATGATCATCACTATCCAAATGGGTTTCATTACTTTAACTTCGGGACAATTTCACTAGATGACTACAGAAACAGTTGGGAAGCTTTGCAAATAATGTGAATTCTTCTCACATCATGAATCATGGGAGCAAATTTGACAAAGCTTGTCAAAAATCCTATCTTGAAATAAAATGCAAAAACCCTTGTTCCGACAATTGCAAAAAGACATAGGGAAAACATTCAATTGATAAAAAGAGAAAAACCTTCAAATTCTTCAACAAGAAAGTCAGAAGTAGATCTCATGATTAAAGGTGCTTCACTTACAAGAAAAAAAGGATATTTCTCAAAAATTTGCTGCCATAAGGCTAATATGGTAATCAAACTTATTTCTACTCTCAATCTTGAGGATAATGATAAAGTTGAATATCTATATTCTGAGCAAAGTTTTGTAGATGAAGAAATTGTTTCTACTCTCAGCCAATCCTCTGATGAAACAAACTCTTGTTACTCAGACTTAAAAACAAAAAAGATTCCGATTTTTTGTTTCCAAGAGATGCATCCTGTTGAAAGTCCCACATCGCCTACCTCATATCATTTGGTATGGTTTAAATACATGTTAGGCTACTCCACATATTGCCAATTGGTTTTATGTTGGAACCTTAACATGGTATCAGAGCCAAAGCCTAACATCTTTCCAGTTATTGTCATGGGCCAAAAGTTGCCCTTTAGTTGGGTCAAAAGTACCCTTTGCCTGGTCCGGTAGGCTTTGTTGGAGGGGGTGTGTTGAAAGTCCCACATCGCCTACCTCATATCATTTGGTATGGTTTAAATACATGTTAGGCTACTCCACATATTGCCAATTGGTTTTATGTTGGAACCTTAACACATCCCATCATTATTACACCCCACAACCATGTATAGAGGTACAACTTCTTCCCTCTATATATGAAAAATCTATCAAAGCCATCACTTATTTTGACACTGTAGCACAAAAGTCAATAATGGATCCAGACATTCTACCCAAATATTTTAGGTAAAAAAAAGTATCATATTTTGTTATTACTAATGGTAAAATTTTCAAAACTGATCCCATCACAAAGGCTCCTATTTGAATCAAGCTTTGCACACAATGCATTGTTTGGTAAAAAATAATTGGAAACAAATTTCCAAAACAAAGATATACTAGTAGAAATGAACATTTACTCTTCTGTCAATAAACTTCAGATATATTATATTAGAATAAGATTCAAAAGAGAATTCAAATCCTGCACAAAATGACACATACTTTTTTCTCTTTCAAAAGCTCGAGATGATTTGGATGGAGTTAAAATCAAACTAACTATTTTGTATGTTGACAATCATGAAGATGTCAACCTTTTATAGAAAAACTGAGTTTTTTTTATCCAACTCCATTTCAAGCTTAATGAAGATGTCAACCCTATCAAAGCAACCCATCCGAATATGTTTCCTTCAAGTCTTCAACTAGCCCATCAAGAATGCAACGAACTATTAAGACAAGGATTGATTGAACCAACCAAATTCAATTGGACTTGTGAATCCTTTATGTTGAAAAAAGATTTGAGAAAATCCAAGAAAAAAAGAGATTAGTCATTTACTATAAACCCCTCAATCATTTCCTCAAAGAAGATAAATTTTCTATTTCTAAAGCATCCTCTTTATCCTTGTTGATTAAAGAATCCAACATTTTTTCCAAATTTGGTCTCAAGTCAGGGTTTTGGCAATTAGGTATTGGCCTAGTTGATAGATATAAAATTGCTTTTTGTATCCTTAATGTTCACTATCAATGGAAAGTGATGTTTTTTGAACTAAAGGTAACTCCATCATTATTTCAAAAAGCCATGATAAAATTTTTTTTGGCCCATTTTAGATAAGGTCACCCTTTATATCAATGATATCTTACTATTCTTCCAAAATATGGACTCCCCAAAAATTGCTAAATCAATTATTTGAAATAGCAAACTAACATTGCATCATGCTCTTTAAAAAGAAAATTCATTTGGTCCAAAAAGAAATTGATATTTTAGGCATGCACTTTTCTCAAGGAGCTTATCAAACCTCAACCCCATATTGTTGAAGAACTTCTAAATTTTCCTTTTCAGAATTTGACCATTAATCAAATTCAAAATTTTTTAGGAATTTTTTAATTACATTCAAGACTTCATCCTCCACATAGCAATATATACTAATCTTTTGTCCAAACTATTGAAAAATAATCCTCCTTCTTGAGGACCAGAATAGACTCTAGTTGTTTAAGAATTAAAGAAAATAGCTCAAGTTTCACCATCTTTAGAAATTCCTAGGAGTGAAAAAAGGATTGATGCTAGTAACAATTATTTGGGGGGTGGGGGGGGGGACAATTCTCATTGAAGAAGTGGAGAACAAGAAACACTATTCTAGACAACCTCAGGGGTCATCACTTTGAAGTTTAAATGGACAACTCTTTTCCAAATATTTTGGAATTCAAGAATAAGATGCCAACCAATCCTCAAATTCTCAAACTCGAGGATTAGTTTTCTTGGTATGCTTTTTCGATATATATATATCAAAGGAAACCAATACCTAGTTCCAAATTTCCTCTCAAGGATGGAGAAAAATATCCAAACCATTTCAACTACTCATAACTTCCCTTTCATATTCATGGTAAAAGCTTTATCCAACACAGTAATGGGGACATGACCATGAGCAAGGGTAAAGATCCACTTGAAGGACTTGAAAGACCTATGACAAAGGCTAGAACAAGGGAAGCAAAGGAAGCTCTTCAACAAATGTTGTCCATATTATTTGAATACAAGCTCACATTTCAAGAAAAAAATACCAAAATTGTAAATAGCATCACGACCCAAATGGAGGAAGACTAACGTGTCACTTTGTTTCAGTCTTTAAGTTTGTTTAAATAATAGCCCAATCCTTTGTAATATTGGCTGACCAAATTATGTTTTGGGTTGATCAATTAATGGGCTTTAGTTTGGTTTTGTTTCAAGTTGTAATAAGGGTCAATTGAAAACTTAGGTATCACCAAGAGGGTGTATAGCTGATTGACTTTTGGTTGTCACAATTTCAGTTACAATCAACCATTAAGTAGTTTTCAATTCCTAGGTTAATAGATCATTATTAGCATTTATTTGCCTCCATTAAGTAGTTTTCAATTCCTAGAAACTCTCACCACTTTTAATCCACATTCTCACTAATTTTCTAAATTTTCTACAAGGTTCTAATCCTAAAGATCCTAAGTCAGCCCTTGTGCAAATGAGGTATCACAAAGCCAAAACGATAAAGGTTTACCCCTAAATTAACACCAACATCTCCTACAGGTATTCTCCAATATGCAAAATCCCATTATTCCTACTTCCTTTATGAAACCATTCAGTTTAAATACTCTCCATCTGCAATTTTTTATCCTTAAATTCCTTTGGGAGGAGTTTTCGAATCATTCTATGAACCTAGATGGGACCTTTATGAACCAACCATTTAAGTAATTAGGTGTAATACTATGCAATACCGTACACCCATTACTTTAAAGACCAAGATGGCTTACAAAATTCTCACAAATCCTTACAATGATAAGTAAGTTGTACTTCTGGACTCTATTGGAATGGTTTTCTCCTTTATCATGGTGGAGATAAGAATTATAAAAAGGATCTTAGATCTTAACAGAGAGGAATATTTGATAAATCTCTTGACTCTTTGACTTCTATATTCATCATCCATCGTCCATATTTCCAAAATCTTACAAGACAATTAAGGTCTAAGAATGAAGTCTATATTTGGGGAACTTTTGAGATCTATCCGTTGAATGAAAGCAATAAACTTCAACTTGTCAGTCATCTTTGTGAAGTTAACAATTACCATCATAAGTCACCTTATCCAAATCTTGCTAGCTCTTCTCAAAGACCTCTCGATTCTTATCCCCTAAATACGATAATTCCAAAAGATAATAATCTTCAACGAATAAAATTGTTCAAATCAACAACAAAAATTTATGTTCCCGATAAAAAATTTTAAAAAGTTGAAGACTTGGTAGATAATTACAACAAATAATTGATGAAAGAGATGATAATACACAACAAGATGTATCCTTATTGGCATCCAATGCATGAAACGAAGTGAAACTCATCAGATGAATTACTCCACCTCCACAAGATCATATTAAAAGAACAAAAAGTAAAGGTTTTGGTTAATGGTTGTCAATCAAACAAGTTACCAAATCAGATTTCCTTATCTTTACACATGCTCATTGCATTAATTACAAATGTATCAATGAGGATAAGATTGAATCAACTTTACTTTATGTACAAAGCTACCAGCCATTATAAGTGTGGGCCAAGAAACTTTACTTTATTTTCAAAGATGTCGGCCATTATAAGTATGAGTCAAGTTCTTATCTTTTACTTTGGATTCCACTTTGTTTAATGTTTTCGCATCTGAATTTCATTCTAGTTTAGCTAAGTTCTCAATTTTGCAGCAAAGTTCTCAATTTTGCTTGTATGAATGTTTCTATAAATAGGAGAATTTGTAATGAAGAAGGCAAAATCAAAATGAATAAAGAAAACAGTGAGCACCACATCAACTAAAATACATTGTTTCAAGGTTTCTTGGATAATGTGATAATTATAAACATGTTTTAATTGTTCACTAAGGTTTACTAGTTTTTAGTTCAGCCTTGCATTTTATATAAATATTTTCTTAAAACCAAGCAGCTATTGCCTATAAAACTTCAAAAAAAAATGAGAGTCTATAAACCAAAACTAAAAGCATTTAAGTATCTGCAAATAATGATTGACATCATGCTTTCAAATGTACAGAGATTCACAACCTCCAATAGACTCTAAGAATGCTCATGTTGAGAGATAAGTCTGCTGAGGCGTAGTTAAAGAAACACTTTCCTAGAAATTCCTAAGAGAGATGAGAAAGCTCAAGAGTTAACTAGGCTGAGCGAGTTTTCTAATTGAAACTCATTAAAACCACCACCCCAACCTTTTTCTCTAGCTCTGAACAGAGTACACTTAAATGATTCAATGATATTAGACAGAAGTTACAGGACAACTAAGTAAAGTAAATACAGAAATAATTAGGGAGGAAATGGTATGACCTCATAATGTATAAGATTCAGGATGTGATCAGGACGACTATCAACAGTACCCTTTTCCAAGTAATAATTGTGTGCACCTCTATCTGCTTTGTAAAATTGGTTAAGGTTGCAGTGAAATAAAGCATAGAGGCAATGTTTACTGAGGTTAAAAATAAATTCTAATAGTCCTAATAATTTGAATATAAACCAAGGATATATATAGTCCTGACAATCTTAGAACACAACCACCGGACTCCAGTACCACATTTTCAGCTTTTAGAAGGACATCAACCCTCGGGCTCCTCCCAATTGGCAGAACTGGAGAATCCTAAAATGATGTGTATCCCATCAGGATAAATCAATAAACAATCAAGTTCATAGAAAGGGAAAATCTGACAGTATCAGTTGAGCAAGATAAATAAGAGTAGAAGTACTGTAATTGCATAAGTGTAGTTAAACACAATTATTTGGAAAAAATAAGCCTGTATCTCCATGTAGACCGTGATTATCTACTTTAAATTAAATTAAATCAAAACAGAGAAACAATAAACGAATATGACAAGGATGTATGACCCACCTCATCACATGGTCCATTATCATTACAATCATATGGAGCACTGCTTGACGTAAATATGAAAGAACCTTCCCCATTCCAGCTTAACCCAGCTAACCTGAATAGTTGACTATCTAAATCAATAAACCACTTCACAAGAAGAAAACTACTGCACTATCACAACTTTTCCTTTCATTAAGTTAATATGACATTCTCTAACTAGAAAAGTCCAAATCGATCTGACCAATCAATTCCATGTTACTACAGGAACATGATGTATGCAATCAAGCAAATACTCAAATGCTAGACATGAGATTGGATGTCAGTTAAGTTCTTCATAAAGAATGAGAATTCTGAGATTGAATGCAATTAATACTTGAAGCTTTAGAGGGGAAGGGAAGGGAAGGGGGGGCGGGGGGGGGGGAAGTTTTTATTTTTAAATTAAGATAACAATACAACTTCTATAAAAATAAAAAATATAGCAGGACATTAAGTTTAATCTATCATTTTATTTCTTTCATCAAATTAGAGAGTATTGGTGAGAAATGAAAATGTTATCCTTCCCTCCCTTTCATCCCAAAAGCCAAACCAACCACCTCAATATTAAAGAGAAAGCATAAAATAGAAGAATGAAACATTGATATTCTATATTATTTGCAAATTAAAGGAAATGCAGAATGATAACACATCCTTCTACCCTGGGCTCCTCTAGAGCAACACAATAGGTTCTATTGAATATAGAGAAAATAGGGTTTGAAATTAATCTCCCTTGTGTACAAACCACATATAGTGTAATTTATTTATAATAAAGAGAGGTACAACTAAAAAGAGTAACTAAAAAATAATTAGAATAAATAGAAGATATTGTTTGATATTGTGATTAACAATATCTAACAATATCTTAAAAATATTAAACAATATCTAAACAATATATAACAGGTTCTTTAATCCCCACCAAAAACCAAATAACCTAATGTCCACCAACATCCCCCTCATTCCTTTCATAACACTTTCTCATCTAACTGCCCTTCCCACTAATCATGCCACATCAGCCATATGATTCTTTTTTCTCAACTCTTTCACATCGTTGCTTATTCCCATCTTGGACTAGTTGCTTAGGAAGCCGACTAACTCTTTGGGCCACATCAATAACCCCTCTTGAAGATTTGTCCTGTCTTCAAGATTCAGCCCAAGAAATTGGCTTCTAATCAAAACTTCATCTTCCCATGTAGCCTCCTTTGTTGTCTTCCCCTTCCAATGGATGAGTCATTGATGCACCTATTCTCCCCTTTTCATAAAACTACACGATGATAGGATAAAAATAGGTTGAATGATTTCAGGACCATCATCCTTCAACCCCATGGATAATTCTTCCTCTTTGACACATGAACTACAAAATGTATCCTTGAAGGAGGCAACTTCCAAAATTTTGAAAGGGTCGTAATACCTAACACTTAATTTCGAATTTATCCTTGCCATTACAGAATGTCATCTATGTTGCTTGAGTTTTAGAAATACCATCTCCCCTACATCAAAGTTTTGGTCCATTCGATGTTTATTAGCTTGTACCTTCATCCTCTCTTGAGCTCTCAACAAATGATTCTTTAATTGCCTTAAAATCTTGTCACAATCCAACAATTTCCTCTTTCCAATCTCACTACTCTTGACACACTTCACACAATCTGGGGAGGCTCGCTTCTTAACACAGCTTCAAATGGTGTAGTGCCTGTTGATGCAAAATTGGATGACAATGGCTATGGAAGATGTAATGGTGTCAATGGCCATGACAACTGGAGAAAGCAAACTATGTCTATCATAAAGAAAGGACAAATGTGTGGGAGGGAGAAGATACTATTGCAAAGAGTAACAATATTTTCTTTTTTTCTTTTAACATTTGGGTTGGGTTGTATTATAAGTCCTTGTTTTTATTACTATCGGGTGTCGTAACCCTAAAACTAATAAAAAAGCTATTAGGTTAGTATTGGGTTGGGTTGGGTCATGTGGATCCAAGGCTTCTTCTCCCCTCAACATTCGACGCCCCACTATATGAGTAGAATTTTTGCCATGGCCATTCCATAACGTCATTCTGCAATGGACAAATCGGTCACCATGGGTTGTCATCCAAAACCCAATTCGCCACCACCATGTTGTGACGGCTAGCGAAAATTCCAACATTGATTTCCACCATGGCTGATATTCAATAACACTACTCAAAGTGAGGTAGACCATTTGATGTTTAAATGTCACACAAACAGTATGGGTGTATCTACTTGGTAATGTATGTTGATGACATTATTCTTACATGTAGTGATCATCATTACATCTTACAGATAAAACAACAACTACAACTGTACTCATGATTATCAAACTCACGAGTTAACTCGTTAACTCGGACAAGTTTACGAGTTGAGTGACAACTCGTGACTAGACTCATTTTTTTAGTTAACTCGTACAAACTCGGAGTCAACTCGGTCAAACTCGAGTTGACTCGCGAATTTATTGCTAAGTCACGAGTCCAAAATGGTTTTTCTCCAATGTTCTACTCTTCTCTCTTCTCTGCGATGGTTTCTCTACTCCACGCAACGTCTCTCTATTCTCTGCACGCGATGGGTTTCTCCTGCGTTCAATGCATCTCTGTCCTTCGTGCATGATGCATTTCTCTCCTTTGTACGCAATGTGTCTCCCTCCATCGCGCGACACATCTCTCTTTACTCTGCACGACGCATCTCTCTCCTTTGCGTGCGACACATCTCACTCCTCCACGTGCAATGCGTCTCCCTCCACCATGCGACTGGTCTCACTCCTTTACGCGCGACCATCCCCTCCTTCGTGGGATGAGGCTCAATTCAAATTTGTTACCTCAAATCTATTAGTTGGATGCATCTCCCTCCTTCGCTAGTTCCAATTTCTATTTTTATTTTCTTTCTTTTTTTTATTTTTTATATGTTTTAAATTTCAATTTTTTGTATTCTGTTTTAGCTTTTTTCTTTTAAGAAATTAAATTTTTTTAATTTTTTGTTTATATTTATTTGTATGAATTAGTTGTCAAAATGATGAAATGTCAATAATTAAGATTAATTTAATTTTTTGTTTAAGTAAAAATAAAAAAATTAAATAAATATTTAATATTATATAGATTACATATTTTAGATAAATTAAAAAAATTAATATAATTTTTTTTATATTAGATTCTTACGAGTCTACGAGTCGAGTATGCAAGTCGAGTTTACAGATATCTCACGAGTCTACTTAGACTCTCGAGTTTGATAACTTTGTCTCGTGCTACCATTTTTAGACAAAAGTCCTTAGTAAACTATGATATTTCTTAGGGATTGAGGTAACACAATCCACCAATAGATTGTTATTTCTCAAATAATGTATACATTGGATATCGTGAAAAATATGTTGTATATTTCCTATTTTTGGAAAAATACAAAAAAGGAGATATAAATATAATACAAGGATTAAACTTGTACACTAATCTATCCCTGAAAATCAAGGAAATATTCTCCCTATAAATGTTGTACCTACATAAAGAAATAAAATTGATATTATTAACATCAAATCCTATTATGGGTTGTACAAATAGAATTTAACTGCTTGTATTCATCTATGCTCCTTGTTTGGATAGAGATGTTAACTGCTTGAAAATACTTCCCTCACCCAAACCTCCATACCTATAAATGTTGTACCTACATAAAGAAATAAAATTGATATTATTAACATCAAATCCTATTATGGGTTGTACAAATAGAATTTAACTGCTTGTATTCATCTATGCTCCTTGTTTGGATAGAGATGTTAACTGCTTGAAAATACTTCCCTCACCCAAACCTCCATACCTTTCAATTAATTCACCCTCATCGCCGCACTGGTCTCTTGGATCGTAAAATAGATTTCTACTCTAGTGATCTAACCGACATGATCTTTCCCCTTAAATATAGGGAGTTCAATCTTTCTCACCAATTGTCTAAACTCATCTGATGCCTCTCCTTCCAAGGATTCCAAGTGTTCCACTATTCGTTGTTTCCTTCTTCTTTTACAAATCACCTATCTTCTTGGGCTTCACATAATTCTCATCCTATGCATTAGGAATTTTATCACATTTGTGTGTCATCAGTTCCACCAATTTCGATTGCCTTTCCACAATCTCCTTACGTATCACATTTGTGTGTCATCAGTTCCACCAATTTCGATTGCCTTTCCACAACCTCCTTACATATCGCTAATTGGTTCAATGTTGCCTAAATCCATATCTCCTCCATGACAACTCTCATATGTTCTAACTCCCCCTTAAAAACCTTAACCCAATCATCCATTATTATTGTATTTTATGGTTTTCCTTTGTTTCGCCTTCCTTTCTTCCTTCCTTTCTTCCCCATCATTGCTTGCTCCCTTTTTGGACAAGTGGTTTACGAAGCCCACTAACTCTTTGGGCCTCATCGGGTACAACTTTTAAACATTAAAACTTAAGTTGTTGATAGATACATGAGAAAAACATTAAAAAACAAAAAATCAGAGATGTACTACTAGTTCTCTGACCATTAATAATAATTTCAAATTGCATTATATGTGAGTGTTGCAGGTACCCCAAACCTTTATTTGCATACCTTGACAAGTGCTTATAACTACCAAAATAAAAAAAATTAAAAAATCATACACAAATTTAACAGGGTCTGACTCAACATACTTAACCACCTTGCAACTACCCCCTCTATAAGACATTATCTACTCTCGTATCCCTTCTCATACATCAAACAAATTGCCAATAAAGCCTTTACAGCCCACAACAATTTACACGGCAACCAATCACTCCAATGCTCTATCATCATTAAGATAATAATTTTCTTCACTTCCTATTATTATTAAAACACATATCTTAAACGTAACTTTCACTATCTTAACATTATATATAGCTAAAAATTTGAATCTACTAATAATAACATGAGCCAAACTCGACAGCTAAAAAAGTTCATCACATAAATTAAAAATACAACAACAATATAGATTTTTCAGGTGTGCAATGCAAAGATTACACAAGTTTCAAAGATCATTAACAGAATTCAAGGCCATTCTCAGTGAAAAAAGTTTTCATTAAACGAATTATATTTTTCAAAGCTATGTTACATGATAATGCTCATGAAAAGATGTCACCATGATATAAATGAAGTACAATGATGTAAAGGTATGTGATATTTAAAAGATTAACATTGAAATACAGATTGATGTTGCTTAAATCTTATCCATGATATTTAACCAATGAGAAAGAATCAAAACCACAAATCCTATATCAGCACAAAAATAACTTGTAGGAGTATAGAAGGCTAATTAGAGTATAAAGAACAGTCCTAAAGAGCTTAATCCATTATCCACAAAACAAAGGTGAGAATTAGCACAAGTTGACCAACTATAGGCCTAGAAATAACCAAACTAACTGACCAACAGTCTATTTATAATCAAGTCTTGAACAAATTCATTAGCATGTTGTCATACGCTTAAGATTTCTCACCTAACATTTCCAGCATAGTCCAGTGTGCGGGAAGGTGGTGCACAATAAAGAACATTTGGAAATTTGTGAGTAGCTTCGATCCATTTCAAAGACGGGTTAATACCCATCTGAATCAACTCGTTGTGATGATGAGTAGTCACTGTCTGACCATAAACTTGACAATCCGGAATTTCCTGTTTGCATACACTTAAATAGATAGACAGACACATACAAGCTACTGAATATCGACTAATCACAAGAATAGCTGTGTGAAGAATGTCACATTGTCAACCAAATAAAAATCACCATAGATATGACTTCGAAAGTAATTATAAAAAAAAAAAAATCAACAATTTGATAATACATCACAATATATCATTTCACTATAAGTAAATGCTAATTACAATGCCAATAAACCATAATATACAAGGAACAAAAGTGTTAAAAACATAAAAGAAATATACTCCCACCATTCCATATATACTCGACCTTATCCAACGTTGACAACAAAAATTAGTATGGGCTAACATTCCAATTTTACGATAATTAATTGGCTCAAGAAAATGAGAGAATACCTGATGCCATTTTTGGGCAACCAAACGACCAAGAACCCCGGGACCCACAACGAGTAAGTCATGTTCTCCAACTACCGGAGGAGAGGAAGAGAGTGATTGTTCCGTGGGAGAGAATGCATCTTGCGAAACCTTCAAATGGGTTGTCTTGTACATCGAAAAAGATGTCAACTTTACTCTATTTCCCAAGTTTGAATGAGAGGATCGGAGGTAGGGGTCGGGAGTGAGGAACCTCAGACACCGAACGTTGTCATAGAGGATAGAGAAATTCCCAGTTAGCTTTTGAGGTTTGAGAACAACATTAGTAGTTCGGAAACACGTAGTTCCCATCAAAATCATAAGGAAGTCTAATCTGCAACTGAAATGTGTTGGTCTCACTGTCGATATTTTTGGGACCTTACGGATTGACATCCCACACCGCACTACACATTGAGGGCACTTTCTTCATCTGTTAGTTTAAAATAACAATATTATCCTCAAAAAGAATGAATTTTCTGAACGTGTTTTCTTTAAATAATTTGGACCGTGTTTCTTCAAAATCAATATTTTAAAAATATTCTTAATAAAATATTTTAGAATATTTTTCTTGAGGTTAATTCAAAATATTTTCAGAAAATTTATTATGAAGTATTTTGAAAAACTTATTTTAGAAGTTTTTTAAAAATATTTTAAATTGATTTTTTTGAAAAAAAAGATTGAAAAAGTTTTTGAAATGTTTTCAGAAAAATTCCAGAAAGATTAATCCAAAATATTCCTAGAAAAACTAATTTCATGGATTTATTTGTATTTCCATTATCGCTTTGTCACTTTTTCTACGGTCGTGTGTTTTGTGACAGTGTATTTCTTGTGTTCCTTGAACAATGGTGACATCAAGTGAAATTACAAAATTACTAACAACTTTCACTTTTAACCTATATTATTAATATGATTTTCTGTACATTTTATTAAATTGGATTTGAGCCATTTTATTGTTCCTTCTTTATTTAATTAACACATTACTTGTAACGATTAAAATATGGTTTTTATATTGAAAGTTTAAACTATCTTTTTAATTTTATTGATACGTAAAATTGTACACATTCTCTATGTTAATTCTATTGTTTTCCCATTAATAAAACTTCATTGACATTTAATGCATTAACTACAGAAAATATATAACTAAAATGCACGTTAATGCAATGTTTCTTTAAAGGAAAATGGATATAGATTTTTGAACAACTATATTTGGATTTTAATAAAAAAAAAGTGATTGAGATTAGAAATTTCAGTGAAAGTGTTAGCGAATTTCTTGTCATAAATTAATCATTAGCAAAATCAATAATCCATATGTACTTTGCATTATTATAATTATCGTCTATCCATAATTTTTTAAAATATTTCATATCTCTTATATTTTTATACTTTAATTTTGTTCATCACTTTGATTAAGTTTTAAATAAATGCTTTTTAGGTTTGAAATATTTAAAAATGGGTTTGAAAAGAATGTTCATATGTTTATTTGATATCTCTCCGTGTTTAAGGAATCTTAAATTTGATTAAAGGATTTTGTTATCTCATGGGTTTCAATCTATATAATAAAACAATCAAATGATAACTTGACTAATATTTTCTCATGCATTTTTTAAATTTAATCGTTTCAACTTATGCTTTTTAGTTCACATTTTCAACTATTGACAGCGGAGATTAGGTTGTTAGTAAATTGGTCATTTACTCTTTATAATAATTAAGATAACATATTTACCTATTAAACAAAAATATTAATAAAAGGCTTAACATAATAATGACAATAATAGGATTTAGGGTTTGAGTGGAGATAAATGAGTTGAGAACGCATGGAAAAAAGCAAACGAAAATGGAGAAAAATAAAAGATGATGGATAGAGAAGTAAATGGGATATAATTGCCTTCATCTTCTCAAAGTTTTTAGAAGAATATAATAAAACATATCTATGAAGGTATTTCATAGGTAAGGAAAAGTGTGGGAGGTATTTGTGTCTATAAGATGAAACAACAATGGAGAAAAATTTGACTTTGTAAGATTCAAAAGGGTGAAGGATGAAGGAAGGTTAGAGAGACAAATAGATTAAATTTGGATCAGAAATGTAATGATGAATCTAAATATACCTAAACACGAGAGAGAACATTCTAAAGAGATCAATCTATTATATTAAGAATGTCAACAAGAATATCATAGAAGATGTACTTTTTTATATTATTATACAATTCTTCATTTCCAATTTCCAAATACATTCAACATAGATTACAAATATTCAACATGTAAATTAAGATTGGTACGATGGATAAGAATATCATTGAAGAATACCATAACAAACTTGATAATAAATTCTCTTAAAAAATATGATGGAAGACTATTTAAGATAGCATTCACTAACCTTAATTGGATCATGACTAAGAAGAATAAAAGAGGAAGAAGTCCACCAAAGTAATGAACATGATGTTTATTCAATGAAGTCAAGGCTCTCATGAAGTCAAGATTGTCATAGAATATGTATGTATTTAGGATATTTTAATGTAAATAAAATTTCTCTCTTGATTGATTTATTTTTAAGTTTTAGTTTAATGTCTCTTATGAAAAGTGATTTGATTTTGAGAAGGGGTTTTAATATGTGTAAAACGTTCTTAGATCACATTTTTAATTGATTAAAAGTCTGACATAATTAATTGATTTCACTGAAACTTAATATTCACTTATGTCTCAAAATTTTAATCAATTATTTCGTGGTTTTAATTAAAATATTCTTGATGTTTTTTTATGAATGTAAGTTTCAAAACATTAATTCATTAAAAAGCAAATTAATTTGTTAATATGAACCCTTCATCTTAACTAAATTTTGATGTCTATTGTTTTAATCGATTAACCTTGTTTTTATCTGTTAAAATAAATTATCAGACTTAGTGAAATTTTTGCAGGTGACTTTAATTGATTGAAATGGTTTTAATATGTTAAATCAACTTAAATCTCTTTAAACATCTTTCTGAAAGAGACATTTTAATCGATTGAAAACTCAAAATAATCAACTAATTTTTAGTAAAATAAACGATTAAAACTGGGAATGAATCGATTAAAACAATCAAAATTGACTATGAAACAGTTTTCTCTATTTAATTTCAAATATACAATTTTTACAATTGATTTAACAATTCTTGAAAGAGCTTTTGAAGAGAAAACACTATGCAAGAGTTTTACGTACGATTAGCAAAAGATCTTAAGGCATATCAATCATTCTTGGTGACATCTTGAGAAAAAAAATTGTCAACTTAGTCTTCTTCACCTAGTTGTTCAAACAAGTGTATATTTTTAAAGTGATATTACTCTTATTTCTTTGTATTTTTATACTCTTGTTAGTATCTTTGATTGGTTATCATTAAACTGTTTTTGTTCTTGTTTCATTCATACAAATATCCATGTAATTGATTTTTGGAAAAAAAAAAGTTATTCTTGATTTTAGAAATTGTACTTTGCGAAAAGTTTTTAAAGTTCAATTCACTTCCTCTTGAACTTGGTCATTAATTCTAACAAAATTGTATTAATGATTGTTTAATTCACCCAAGAGAGGAATCTCCTTCTTAAGTTTGCACTACTTTTCTATTTTTATTGGCTTTGTAAAATTCTTTTGAAAATTTTATAGGCTTTAACTTTTCTTTTCTTGTAAAATTAGGACTAAAAACGGCACACACTCACCTTGGGCTAGCCATCATGGACTACGCCACACCTTAGGCGATCCATATGAAGGCTAGGACGACTCTTCACATATGAAAAGTCAAGGTTCAACACTTGATTGCAACTTTAGAAACATTTCACATATATAAACACTTGAAGCAAGCCAAATTTAAAGGAGATGGGGTGCGTCACTTGAAAAAGAGAGGATAAGGATGAAGCCTTGGCTACCACAAAAAGAAATATATAATTTTTCTTTCTCAAATTCGGCCAAGCACTCCAAACACTCAAGGAGGTCCAAGTTTCAACTCTTGGTTGCAACATTGAGAGCCTTTTGGCATAAAAACACTTAAATGTGATTAAAAATAGGCAAGGTGAGACTTGAAGCTAAAAACAAGTTCAAAGTGGGTTTTTAAAACTAAGTACATGGCAGATGACTCATTTGAGAGAAGGAAAACAAGATTGGTTGTCAAAGGTTTTCAACAAACTACAAGTCTGGACTATGATGAGACCTTTAGTCCAGTGATCAAATCCAACACTATAAGAATAATCTTATCCATTGCAGTGCATTTAATTTTGGAAGTTAGATAATTAGACAAACAATGCATTCTTGAATGACAATCTCAAAGAAATTGTGTTTATGCATCAACCTGAAGGATATACAGATTCAACCAAGTCTAATCACATATGCAAATTAAACAAGGCAATCTACAGCCTGAAGCAAGCTCCAAGGGCTTAGTATGACAAGTTAAAGGATACTATACTAGAATTGGGGTTTCAAAACACCAAGAGTGATTCATTACTGTTTGTCCTTAGAGGAACTAACCATATCATACTCATTCTCATATATGTTAATGACATAATAGTAATACGGAGTAACAACAAGTCTCTAGAGACCTTCATTACTCAACTATGACTTAGGCCTTCTGAAAGTGATGAAGATCTTATTGAAATACTCTGGCAAAGATCTTATTGATTTGATGTTGATTTGATGAAGTCAAAGATAAAGTCAAAGTCAACTTTGTAGCAGTCAACAGTCAACTTAGATAAAAGAATAGAGGGATTAGTGTGTCTGCAGCTATGCTTAGGTATAATCACTTTTATCTTTCCTGCTGCATGAGGTTTCTTCACTTAAAAAGATTTTGCAAAATGCCTCTAAAAACGTTTAAGCAGTTAAAAACAAAGTATTTTAACAAAGGCTTTCTTAAACAAGTTTTTAACTGATATAATTTCGAAATAACAGGTTGTTTTCATTAAAGAAAGTTTTGAAAATCTTCTCTCAGTGTTTTAACTGATAAAGCTTCGAAATAACCGATTAAAATCACTTAAAATGTTAAGAGAAGCGTTTTTGCAGTATTTTAATCGATACAACTTGGTTTTAATCGATTAAATCCACTTAGTGATCAAGATGATCGATCAGAATGCAATTATGACCGATCAGAATCGATATGATCGATCGAATTGAGTTATGACCGATAAGAACTTTTTCAATCGATTAAAACACGTTTCAATCGATTAAAACAACTTAGAAAATTTCTACACAGCCGTTTTAATCGATTAAAACTTATTTTTATCAGCTTAAAATCACTTTGAAAATTTTTACAAGAATGCTTTGCAAGTATTCTAATCGATTGAATCACTGAAACAATCGATTAAAACAAATTAGAAGATTTTTGTAAAGAGTTTTAATTGATATAAACGTTGTCGTATCGCTTAAAACAAATCGTTAAAGAATCAAGAACGTTTTAATGGATTAAAAGAAGTTTTAACAGATTAAAACTACACTTTTAACAGATTAAAAGATTATTTTAACAGATTGATTAAACCAGATAGCTTTGAAAATCTTCTATAAAAACATATTGGCTTGAACTTTTTTAACATCATCGAATAGCAATCTTTTACACATCCTTTAGCAATCAAGCAAGCAAACTTTAATACTCTTTCAAGAAAGATTTGCGCTAGTTTTTGTGAAGTTCTTTGAAATTCTTTCTTGAGGCAAATTGCTTTCTTTTGGAGAAGAAACACTACTCGTGAATTGCATAAAACTGGTTTGAGCATTCTAGTTTCTTCTTTTCATTTCTTTACATTCTTTTTGTATTGTTTGGTGCCTGGAATTGTGGGCACTGGTTTCTCTGCAGCTGGAATTTGGTTGTAGAGGTTGTCAAGAACTAGAATTTGGTTCTTGGTGAAAGGTTAGGTGCAGGAACTGGAATTGTGGTTCTTGTGGTAGATTAAGTGTAAGATTGTAATCTGTAAAACATTTAATCTAGTGGAACCCAACTGGAATTTGGTCGGAGACTCGGACGTAGCCCTGGTATTGGGTGAACCAAGTATAAACACCGGTGATATCTTTCTAAACCTTTCTCCTCTTTTAATTCGTTACTCGCATTTATTGTTGATTGATTGCTTTGTGATTCAAGAACAGATCCGAAATCTTATTTTTACAAATAGATAATCTGTTAATTGCGAAAATCTTTCAAAGATCAATTCACCCCCTCTTGATCTCAGCCTTCTTTTCTAACAATTGGCATCGAGTGAGGTGCTTGAAAGTTATTCAAGTTCTTCGATCCATGGTCGAAAACAGATTACCGTTTTCTCGAGGGAGCTTCTATTAACAAGCCTCCACTGCTTTGTGGAACGCATTATCCTTTTTGGAAAATTAGGATGAAGATCTTTATTGAGTCTATTGATAGAAATGTTTGGGATGTAATTGCTAATGGTCCTTTAATTACGTAAAAAGAATGGTCCAGCTTAAAATGATGAGGAAAAGAAAAAAGTTCAAAATGATTGCACTCGCTAAAAATATAATTACTTCGCACTTAACATGGATGAGTTTTTCGTGGTCTCCCAATGCAAATCGCCAAGGAGATGTGGGATGTTCTTGAGGTTACTCATGAAGGGACAACGAGATGTAAAGAGAGCCGTAAAACATACTCTCATAAGAGAATATGAGCTGTTTAAAATGCAAATTGGTGAAAGCATTGCAGATGTGCGTAAGCGATTCACTCACATCATTAATCATCTAATGGGCCTAGGTAAAACCTTTGATAAAGAAGAATTAAATATTAAAGTCTTGAAATGTCTTGACAGGTCATGGCAGTCAAAGGTCACAACAATTTCGTAGTCAAAGGATTTGTCCGTCATGACAACAGACTTCTTTGTTTGGCAAACTCGTAGAACATGAAATGGAAATTAACATGATTTAATGAACAAGAAGTCTCCGAGAAGAAAAGCAAAAGTATAGCACTCAAAGTTGAAGAAAGAAATCAAGAATCGGAGGAGGAGAGTGAGAATCTTGGACTCGCTTGTCGGAAAATTCAACAAATTTCTCAAGAAAAAGATTCAAGACAAGGAAAAACATAAAAGGTATGAGAAAAAACTGATTCTTCTAACTTTAAATGCTATGGTTGTGGTAAGCGGTGGCCATGTAAGAATGGAGTGCCCTGAAAAGAACAAATATAATGACAAAAAAGAAGAGAAAGTCAAAAGAAGAGCCTATATAGCATAGGATGACAATGACACTTCATCAACAGACAATTCTGATAATGAAGAAGCCAACCTGTGTCTAATGGCAAATCAAAACCTTCAATCCAGCAGTGTAAGTTCTAATTCTTCTTCAAATTTAGTGAACTATAATTCATTACAAGAAGCATTTAATGAAATGCATGAAGAGGCTAAGAAACTACAAAAAGAAAATGTAGGCTAAAAGGATTGAATAATTGGTTGGTAAATAAAGTAGACTCTCTTGAAAAGAGAATTCTTGAAGATGAAACTGATTGTGATTTCTTAAAATTAATTCATGATAATTCTGATTGTGCATGTAATAAACCCTGTAATAATTATTCAGAATTACAAAAGAAATTTGATTTTTTATCACAAACTGTTTCAAGGTTTACACAAGGGCAAGCTAATCTTGACATTTTACTTGGGTCACAAAAACTAATTTTTGACAAATCTGGAATAGGATTTAAATCTAGGATGAAATTCAGAAAAACAAATGTAAATAGGAAATCATAATCTGTGATTAAATGTTTTTACTGCATGAAAAGAGGTCATTCAGTAAAATACTGTAGAATTAAAAAGTATGATATTCCTAAAGGTAGAATGAAATGGATTCCCAAAAATAATTCATTTCAAATAACCTAATTGGACCCAGTAATTATAAAGGGTACCAGAAACATGCTAAATCTATTTTGCAGGAACAAAATCTGGGAGTCCCTTGGTATTCAAAACAGCAAATCAGGTTCTACTTTCATAAACTAATTGTTTTAATTGATATAAAACAGTATTAATCGATTAAAATAACTTACGGAGGATATCGTAAAATATGTCCAGTATCATTTTAATCGATCGTAATGCTGAATTAATCGATTAAAATGTACTCGGGATTTGAGTTTAACTGTTTTAATCGATTAAAAAGAAATTCATATCAACTAAAAACACTAAGATGTCAAATTTAATCGATTCTTTTTCATTTTAATCGATTTAAATTTCGTTATCATTTTATTAATTTCATTATGTGCAAGACTAATCGATTCCTTTATGAATTAATCGATTATTTCAATCGTAGTATTTTCAAACCTAGTATTAAAAATCAAATTAATAGGTTAATTAGTTGGTTAATCGATTAATTTGTTTCGAAAATTAGTTTTATAACATCCAATTGAAAATTGGTAAGCAAATCAAAGTCAAAATCCCAAGTTTTTATGGTAATCAAAATCGCGATAATACTTTTAAATATTGTTTGACCAAGTCAAACATCTTCTCAAGAACAGCTTTAGCCGATACACCCACTGTCCAAGAATATGTGCCTCGTGTTCTCGCTCAAGGGGACATATGCAATTAAAGCCGATTTTGCAGTGTTCTCGTCTAAAGTAAACCGCAATTCACAAAAATTGACATCCGTGAATCTTCGCTTGCTCCCGTGTAGCTCATTACTCTCGGCCTTATCTTCCCGGTTCAAAGTGTTCCTCTCTTCTTTCCTTTTACACACGTCTTCGAAACTCTTCTCCGAAAATACAACAAGATGCCGAGAAGA